ACTATGAAACTGTGATCCCTTCCCCGACACAAACGGTATATTGTGAGACAGGAAATTGTAGAGACAAACAAGCCCTATAACATAGGATACAACATTTTAATGAACAGTGCTTTCCATAAAATCAATAAAATGAAAAATATACGAAATAATATACATGTATTGATTTCTTTCGAAAATCCACAACTATGAAACTATGATCCCTTCCCCGACACAAACGGTATATTGTGAGCCAGAAAATTGTAGAGAGAAACAAGCCCTATAACATAGGATACAACATTTTAATGAACAGTGCTTTTCATAAAATCAATAAAATTAAAAATATACGAAACCGATTTCTTTCGAAAATCGACAACTATGAAACTATGACCCCGTCCCTGACACAAACGGTATATTGTGAGACAGAAAATTGAAAAGAGAAACAAGCCCTATAACATAGGATACAACAATTTAATGAACAGTGCTTTCCATAAAATCAATAAAATGAAAAATATACGAAATAATATACATGTACCGATTTCTTTCGAAAATCGACAACTATGAAACTATGATTCCGTCCCTGACACAAACGGTACATTGTGAGACAGGAAATTGTAGAGCGAAACAAGCCCTATAACATAGGATAGAACATTTTAATGAACAGTGCTTTCCATAAGATCAATAAAATGAAAAATATACGAAATAATATACATGCACTGATTTCTGTCGAAAATCGACAACTATGAAACTGTGATCCCTTCCCCGACACAAACGGTATAACATAGGATACAACATTTTAATGAACAGTGCTTTCCATAAAATTAATAAAATGAAAAATAAATAGATGAGATCAATGTGTTGCCGACAGATTGCGGCCTAGGGCTAGACTTGTTTATTCGGTGCGGCCAACGCAAAAAAGACGCAAAGCAAACTTTATCCTATGATGTATGTTTAAGTATTTGTTTATTAACAAGAACAAATGCAAACAGCAAACAAATGGAAAACAGCAAACAAATGGAACTTCTTGTGTTCCATTTGTTTGCTGTTTCATATCATAGGGTTTCTGGAACCGGAGCTGTTTTTCGGAACAGGAAACTTCAGTACCGCGTCTGTATGGAACTTCCGGTTTTGTCGGTACTTTCGCTTTGTCAGTCAGCAAGCAAGGCATGGTTTTGAAAAGTACAATTGATAAAAAATTGAGCGTTTTAATGAAAATAATATCAAATTCATTAAGTAGTCAGGCATGAGAAAATTAACATGAACACGCAAGCCAAAAAAAAACATAGGCAACTTAAAATTCCTAATATTCCTATAATAAGCCTTACATTTTTTAACTAAAAATGCAAATGCCTATACCCTTGTATAGTTTATTTCATATATATGTATTACCTCAAAATTTACTTCATTCTGAGTTAGTTTTCAATTCAAACTGACTTTCTATGGAATATTGCGTGGCGTAGATTGAAATATCCTCACAGTTACGGTAAAAGCTAACTTTTCTAATTTAAATATGGCCCTAAAATTCAGAAATCAGAATTTAGGTTCAGTTAAAGCGGATATATGTATATTTTTAGAATGTGCGAGCATGTCCAAAGCCGTAATGTTCCGTAATTATCGATAAAGATTGCCGTAGAAATATGTATGTGCCTATTTAACAGTGACCAAAAAATTAATAACATTGCAGTAAGATTAAACTAATTTATTTTTTATCGCGGCCAGTAAATATAATTTGAGCAACTCAAAGGCTTTACTCAATGTAGTCAAAATGTAGGTCAATACGTAAACATCATTAAAGTAAAAATTAATATTTTTTTCGGCTCATGAAAAATTTGTTAATAGTCTTTATTTACTATGCATAGCTACATTTGCATTATTCATATTGTAAATATCTTTATTGTTTTACTCTTACTATATCTTTTATAATCAGTGAAGAATTAGAATTTATAACGGCTGAACAGATGATTTTATATTATTTAATGATTTCTGACAAACAACGCAATGTTTTGATATAGGTTCGTTCCAAACTAGAATAAGTATCAGATTTCAGACATTATTTGCAACGCATTTTTATTTCTCAAAAATATTTATTTACACATTTTTAGGAACCTATGTTTTGAAAATATGTACATTCGTTTTTGGATAAGCGTTGTAAATATAGAAAAGGGTAAGTCTTTCTAGGAATAATAAAGACTTGTTGTATACACATATTAATCTTTTCTATCGAATTTTGCGAGAAACTGCAAACACTATCTTATAAAATTATACAGTGGATTTATATCTCAGTAACTATTCTGATATCTGGAAATGCTAGGTATTTTTCCAGTGCAACAGAAAACAGAAAATTTACAAAAATAAAAAATATTTTTTGGAACAAACCTTTAAAAACATCGTAAAAATTTGGAGTACAATAGCACCAAGCAATATTTTTATAACAGCTGATAACCTATAATGATTATCGAATGATTTTTATTAGTTTTCATTGCAAAATTTTGGACAATATATAATTAAAAATGTGACTAATTTAATTTTTTTATACATATAATAAAAAAGGTAGACGGTTAGATATCTAGAATGCAAACAAATGCCCAAAATTAAAAAATTAAAAAATCATTTTTCTAAATTAAATATTAACCTTAAGTGTTATTTCAAAAGCTTCTTTGACGTTGTTTTTTCTCTCCATAACACACGATATATAAAATATATTATTATTTTTTTTATTATAAAATATGTGTGTGTTAATAATACATATTTTTTGAATAACATATATTATAAATGCGGCTATTATAATATAAACTATAGAAATTATTTTGATAATCAAGACACTAAAGCAATGAATTGGAGTATAAGAAATTGTGTAAATTAAACAAACCCGCCGCAAAAACTGTAATTGAAAAATTAATCACAAAAGAAACTGCAATAGAAAAGCTTCATGTTCTACTTTAGTAACTGTTGCGAATTCGAAATAAATTTATTCGATTGTAATTTATAGAATAATACTTAAATAATAATGCATTTATTGTTGTTGAAAACGGTTTACCATTACGTTGATTTATAGCGAACTCATTATATCTTATTTATATGCTTAAACAAAGAAGCAGTTATTATCACAAAACGAAATGGAAATTTCACTAGTTTCTACTCATACAGAAATATACCATATGATCGAGAAAGAAAAACGGCGTCATAGTAGCCTCCACGGAACCTCTGTTGGGGTCATTTTGGTCTGTCTGTCTGTCAAGACCCCTTATCTCAGAGACGCGTGGAGGTATTGATTTGAATTAAAACCATAATATACTAAAGTTTACAATTCCTTGAAGCTGTAAAAATCAAACTTCTATGTTAATGTAAAAAAAAGATACGGTCGTGTATGCCACAAGAAAAGTATATTTTGACACTTCTTAAGAGAATCAAAATTTATAGGGTATTTTCAGTTGTCTATGAAACTGAGCAAGTAATACTATCTTATACTACATGAAAGCTATACCTTTGTAATTAAGGCGCGATTCTCACTATAACGTACCGCCACCGTTACGTCGAGCCGCCGGCCTCCATGGTAAATATTCTAACAGCGCTTTCAGATGGAGCGGACCGTCCGCGACGGACCGTCCGTCGTGTTTTCAAGAACCCCGTCGGACGGAGCATAGGCGACCCATGTGAAATTGTTCATATAAACTCATGGTACTTGCTCGAAGTCGCGGACGGTCTGTCGCGTACGCTCCGCTCCATCTGAAAACGCTGTTACAGCGCTGTCAGATGGAGCGGACCGTACGCGCGGGTGTTTTTTCAATATAGCTCATCCGGACGGAGCATACGCGACCCATGTGAAATCGTTCATATAAACTCATGGTACTGCTCGAAGTCGCGGACGGTCCGTCGCGGACGCTCCGCTCCATCTGAAAACGCTGTTACAGCGCTCCGACTATACGTTATAGTGAGAATCGCGCCTATGTCGTAAAAAATATACAGTATGTCCCCGGATTGTTTTTACAAGAGGGACACTTTTTTGTTAATGACATTTTGAGAAAAATGCATACCTTATAACATTTTTTTATTGTTCTATAATACTTTAGTCCACTTTTCCAAATTTCCATACCGTTTAAGAGAAAATTAAAAAAAACATGAAAATGTAATTTAATTTTTATTTAATTCCAAAAAATCAAAACGCGTTTCTCTGGTAATATAATTTCGTTTTCATTCTTTGATAGATGGTTATTAATAGAATTTTAATTAACATCCTATTTTTTGCTATTTTAAAATGCTCAAAAAGCGCAAACTTTAATTATTAGTTTAATGCTACGGAAAGGGTGATAATTATCGGAAAATGTGATACATACTTTAATAACAGCAAAAAATATGACGTTAATTAAAAATAATAATAACCATTCATCAAAGAGTGAAATCGAAATTATATCACTATAGAAACGCCTTTTGATTTTTAGGACTAACGTTATGGACTAAACGTTATGGAAATTTGAAAAATCATAAATTAACCATTTTAGAACGAGCAAAAATTTCAATGAAGAACGTGTGTTTCTCAAAATGTCAATAATAAAAAAGTTTTTCTCTCCTCTTGTTAAGACAATCCGGGGACCTCTGACTAGTTTTCATTAATTTATAATCTTTTTATAATATGTACCTACAAATTTGTACGGAACCCTCTTTTTTTTAATTGAATAGAGATTTTACATTTTTATAAATTAAATAATTAATTATTTATTTTCTTTTATTATTTTTCTTGTTTATTTCTTTAATTATTTTACGTCAATTTTCTTGTGTGTTTGATTTGAGTTAAAGAGGGAAAGAGAATGGGAATGAAACAGAACGTGGAATATTTCCAACTAAAAATAAAAGAAAATAAAAGTGTGAATCAATTGAACAACAACAGAAAATCTCCTTGTTATGAAATGTTCTGCGTTGGAAAAAAATATGCGATAAAGCGAAACATAACATCGACGCACTTCTTTAACAAATAACGGCTTTTTGTCATCTAAATTTGATGGAGTTGCGCACCACGATCCCTTTTTCCAGGCTGTCCCTTAATTTATCAGTAGGTACACCTCACTAGTGTCGTATAGGTGCCAGTGTGCCAGCAATGACAATTTTCTAAAACTTGGCGAATGGTCTTTGGTAAGTTTTCGATGTAAAATCATAAAACAGTCCCTTTTTTTCGACCCTTTCCGGTAAATTCGGCTTAGAAAACGCGGGGGTGAATCATACGAAAGCTCGAGCGGAGCTTTTAAGGTTAGTCGGTAGAGAATAGGGCAAAAGCTTTAATAAAATAGCTTTACGCGAGCTTATTACTTCCTATACATCGCCGTTTTAGTTGAACGATACGAAATGATCGATGGACACGAAGTGGCGGGTTTTTAAGTATACCGCGAAGAAAACTGCACAAAATTTGCCTTGCACTGAGCAGAATCCGGATTTAAATGGACATTATTTATGCATGAACTGATGCACGTGTTCTACCTGTCTTTTTTCCATGCACCCGACGGATCTCTCCTTCACACTCTTCTATTCTTGTTTACGTTTTTTCCTTCAACTATACTTTTTAACTTCTCAATTAACGTTATTTCCATGAAGTTTTTTCTTAATTTAAATATCGAATAAACAATAACAAATTGAATTTAATAAAGAAATAAAAATGAAAATTATTTAGGGGGTTGGCACATGATATAAGTCGGGGTGGAATAAGACGAGGAAATATTTTTATCGTCCGGAAGAAGATGTGAAAATTCTGAACATTTCCCGTAATATCCCGGTTATATGTGGGGGGTCGGGGGGGATTGGCGAGCGAGAGACAAGGACGGGGCACTGAGGTATGGCAGGCCCAAATCTAATTAATCGCTAAGGCAACGGAGAAGGAAAAGAATTAGTATTTTTGGCTAGGCGTGTCTCGTGGCCCGCCTGTCACTTGTGTCTTAAAATGAAAGTTGCGCGACTGGCCATTTTTCTGACCAGTGGTCTTGCTAGTGTAGGAGGATTATTGATCCGTTTGGGCCATGCTGGAAACACACGCATTCACACACATATACGTACTACTTACTAAACTAAAGGCCTACTATACGGCTAGAGCCGCCGGTCAACTTCCCCTTTGTGAGAGGTGGCCAGTAGAGCAGTAAACGATATACATGAGCGCCAAACAGGGCTAATCTACCGCTCTTTTACTTTTACTACTTTCTTTTTGTCTCGATACTCACATTTTTAAATTTAGAAATTTCAAGCACAATCTACAATAATTAGAATCTTAAATGTTTTTGAATTAAAAGAAAATGATTTCTCTTTACAATATCTTATTCTGAATACTGCAGCTTTGAGGTGCAAAATCATTCATAGTTAATACTTGTCATAGAATTATTTAAATACACGTATTGGAATTTTTTTAACTCTTCAATCAAATACTTGTGAAACTGTGAAACAGAAAAGTTGAAAACTTCCCATAAATGGTTAGAAAAATGGTCATTGGTCGACTAATTTTCATACATTCGATTTTTGTCATGTCACCGATTTTGTTAAAACTGCTCTTATTTACTAATTAAAAGGTTAGAATAAGAAAATATAGGCCACATTGTGGTCTTACGAATACAGTATTAGTCGTAGGGGAAATTTTAACCAACATCAAAAATAATTTAGAAACAAGGGTCATCAAATTTTCTCACAAAATTAAGGTATCTAAGCCTTTAGGGGGTATATATTTGAATCTACATAAAATTTCATACAAATTTTGACATTTTTTTAATTATGGCTTTTGAAAATGTGTAAAAATAGCCAAAAATTAGGCATTTTTTCGACTGTTTCCATACATGTCATGAAAATTGGCAATACTTCTGTTATTTACTAAATGAAATGTTGTAGATAAGACAATACAGTCCATTGTAGTTTTACGAAAACTTAAGGGACGTTTGGCATTAATAAAAATAGTTCAAAAACAAGGGTCAAAAAAATTAAAAGATTTTAAAGCCAGAGCAAAAAATTTATATGTTTATTATAATTATGTATAGAAGTGATTTATTTAACGAAATTTTAATCTATCTTTAACTGATATTTATTTATAAAATATTAATACAATTATTTTTATTAAATAAATAATTTTTATTATTTCCGCAAATTAAATTATTGTCAAATTGTGTTTTATGTTAAAGCGTGTTTATGCACATTATGGTATTTAAAGAGTGTGAATTTTCCTCTATTGTTAATAAGTATTAACAATAGAGAAAACCTCCATTATTTAAACCAGACATTTTTGTCTAAGTATATTTACATTACGCGTTTTATACGATTCCGTTGTGGATGTAAGTAATTACTTTATTTTTCAGTTTGTTTATTATGTCCTGTTTATAATAAAGTCACCTAACAAGACCTCATTTACGAATTACAAAAATATTATTAATAAAAACATGAAATACAGTTGCCTATATATCAGATTTTAGACGATACCTAATACCTACCTTCTTATTATTGTAAACGAAAACAATATATCATTTTCAAAATATATCTTCTTAGTTTTCATGAGTTTTCGGACCAATAAATGTTGAAATTGCTGTTACGGTTTCAGAAAATGTTGAAATTGAACAAGCCTTTTTAACATAAAGTTTGGAAATTAACTTTATTACAGTTAATTATTTTAAGTATGAAATACTATACTGAATATTAAGTATCAGTAGATGATGTTAATTTTAAAAATATCTTATATATCCTAGTTTCCCAACTATTCAAATATTTCATATATTCAAATACGTAGAAGCGAATTCTTATTCATACATTCCAATTTCATAGAAACAATTAATTAACTGAAGTATTTTAAAATTATTACTTGGTGTATCCTTAAAATATTTAAGTCATGTGTTCAGACAATAAATCCAATCTATTACAAGCTTATTTTAACGGAAGTTTATTTAACATTATAAAATATGTATAAACTTTGAGAAATTAAAAAATAAAATTCTCATTGCTGATATATCTATAAAAGTCTGATATTAATATTACTTTTTGTTACTAATAATATCTAAACATTTTTGAAATTTTTGTCTATGATAAACCCTTCCATCTTTTGTAATTTTAAATTCATGTCGCACAATGTCATCCAATCTAAATTTAGATAGTTCTCTCATTCTTTTAACAATTACACAAAAATAAACTAAAGTCGAACAATCTACGCAACCGATCTACGCAGTAAGCGACGCCAATTCATTCCAGACAGCCGCATAGTCTGCGTAAATGCAAGCATTGTAAATAGCAATTATAAATAGTAACAACAAAAATAAACAGTAACAAATTTCATACGGTAAATAGTCGAACAATCTGCGCAACCGATCTACGCAGTAAGCGGTGTCAATTCATGCCTGACAGCCGCATAGTCTGCGTAAATGCAAGCACTGAAGATTTATTATATAGAAAATAAAAGAGTACCACATTTTATTGGTATTAAAAGTGAAATTGGAGTTGAAATATTAAAAGAACTAATAATTATATAATAACAAAATAAATGTTTTCTTTATTGGAGTAGACATTCTTGAATGAGTATTTGTCATTACTTGTGATATAACGATTACATTTAATAAACTTTTAATTTTTTCTATTTGGGAATTTTTAACGATGTACTTAAACAGCCGTTAAACGGTAGCCTACTAAAATGCCGTTAATAGATATTGTGACGTCGTTCATGTCGGCGGAAAGTAATGCCTAGCCTTAAGCATTTTGCAAGAGCACCTGTGGGTCAGTGGCTGAGGCTATCGCTTCGTAAGCGAATGGTCCGTGGTTCAAATCTCACGCCGACCAAGACTTTTTATATTTTCTTCGCTTATATCGTGATCTTATTGCATTGGTTTCACTCTTTTTGGTTGGATTGGTTTAGTTATTTGGCGGGTTGGTTAGCCTGGTTATTTGGAGGGTGTTAATACATTGGTTAGTTGGTTATTTGGTGGGGTTGGTTGATTTTTATTAATTTATATTTGTTTTTTATATTTTTTATCAGTGTCGAGGTTAGTTGCGTTGGTTAAGTTGGTTATTTGGTAGGGTGGATAGCGTTGGTTAGTCCTTATAAAATTCCTATATTTCATAAAGCCGTCAAGTGCGTCACATCAATGACGTCATACCTATTAACGGCATTTTAGTAAGCTACCGTTTAACGGCAGTTTAAGTACAGCCAATTTTTAAATTTAGAAGGTTAGACTTTCAAACATCTAGAGAAAAATAAAAAAAAATGTGAATAATATAATTTTTTTAATAAACCCATTATGAAGAGGAGTTCGAGAGAGAGAAAAGACCAACAAGAATTTTTTAATATGTCGCCTTATTTAATAAAAAACTGAAGCAGAATTTTTTAGCATGGGATATTTTATAAAGATGAATAACTTCACGTTATATTCAATTCCTAAGAGTGCCCCGAATTTATTCTTATATTCCTTTTTTCTTCTTAATTCCAAATTTTTTCTTTTTTTGGTTTCATGGCTTCTTTAAAATCCTTTTAATCTCATATTAGTGTAATTAGTGCAGAAAGTAATGTAAACGATAATATAATTGACGTATTATGTACCACTTACAGTTCAAGTACAAATATTTGTTTAAAAAGTACTTAAAATATTTAATCTTATTCTAAAACGTGTTAAATTGATAACGCATAACAAATGTAGTTACTAACATACTTTTACTTTTGAAACAAAATTCACCTCTGCCAAAATTCACTTCTGCCCACTTAAAATTATAATCCAGATTATAGCAGAAGGCGTACTGATTCTATCAAACTTTTATCTAAAGTTGATCGCATATTAAAATTAGCTCATAGATTCATCGAATGCCAATCTGTTGATATTTTACTATCAAATTTTTGCGTACAAATGAATAAGCGATTTTTTGACATTTTTTTAAATATAAATACGTCTAGTTTTCGTGTAATATAGCTTTCGTGATTATTACAAGTTATTTCCTTGTGTTTTTTTATAGGTTGGTTAGACCATATCTGACCAAGCGTATTTATATTTCTACAAAGGAATTAGCAAATCAAAAGCTAGCTTATATTTAGATTTTGTATAATTTTAAGCTCTTTAAAAAGGTAGTTTATCAGACCTAAATCTCGAACTGTTTTTTAGACCGCTTTGATATATTTCTGAATATTGTTAAGTAGGTAT